TGTGCAGTTTATTGAACGTGTTTTGCAGATTTCAGCAAAACTTATAAACTTTTGTTCAGATAGCGACTGCAGTCGAATATCTGCACTATGGAGCTCCCGTATCAGTAATCCATCGTGATCTGAAGTCGAACAATGTTGTTTTGAGGGCTCAACGCGTCTGCAAATTATGCGACTTTGGACTGTCAAAGAATTTGGCTGGTTCGCGGACAGCAGCATCATTTGCTGGCACGATTCCGTGGATGAGGTGAATTTTATCGCTCGATTAGCCGTGCACTATGCCTATTTATGCATTCTGCTTATTTATAATCTCATCAAGTTGGATGCTCACCTAAAGGTGAAATTCATCATCGCATCAGTTCTTCACATTCTCATTGTTGTTTGTCAATTTTCAGCCCGGGGAACATCACCGCGGCAACGGACGTCTGGAGCTACGGAGTTGTTTTGTGGGAAATGCTCACACGAGAGGTAATCGCAATTGGGAGTTGAATCATTTTTCAAGTCACCGTACTTTCATTTCATTGTGAGGTGTGTTTATTGCAGGTGCCCTATAAAGATCAAGCTAATTTTTTCGTAATGAAGTCGGTTACAGAAAAAGGTTCCACCCTAGCGATACCTGAGGAATATCCGCCAGATTTTAAACGGTACGATTTTACTGATGATTTTCTGTTGATTTTGATTTCATCAGTTAATGTGAGGAGTATCGTTGTGAAGCAGTTGAGAAATTAGTTGAGGTGTTACTGATTATAATACTGAAGGTAGAGTTTTAAGATCAGTCAGTATTAAATCTTAATTTATCAATGTTTGTGCCGTTTTAAATTCATGCCCTCTGGTCTGATATCGATTGAGGTGTAATTAACAAAACCATCTGATTTTGACATGCAATCCAATGTTTTTATTTTGGTAATATGGATTTGCATCTTCTTAACAAAATAAGGATTTGAAGTTGGGATTCTCGAGAGCCAGAGTGAGAAAGTTCAGATGTCGAATTTTGAGTTGGGGATGATATCGTAATTTTAACAACACTTATTATGTACACCTTAATGTATGTTTCCTCCATGGCGATCAATATCCATTGATTAATTTAGAATTTATTCGGTGGGAATTCTCAGGTCAGAACACTCCGTGAATTCGAGAGTGATGAAGACCTGAGTGAAGCACTGCGATTGACTGGTAACGATCCATTGATGTCACCAGTTTATAATGAAGTAATGGCTAGAAAGAGGTATTCATTGAAACGATTAATTATTTCGTTTGATAAGGAGAAATGAGAATGTTGAAATATATTCGCATCGAATAAATTATGATGAATAATGATTAATAATAATCATCAAATAAACGATTACGTGAATTGATGAATGATAATCGGTGTTTTATTTGGTGTGAATAATCGAAATGATTTGTATCGACATCTGTCAATTATTCATCAACCGAATTATCGCATTCATTTCTGAAGTTATTTTCA